TTTTGCGATCTCCTCAAGTTTATCTCTAAACTCCCCGCTCAATTTCGGCTCCTTTTTTCTTTTTGCTACAAATACGAAAAGGTCCGACCTGTTAGCGAAAGAAAAACAACCTGTCAGGAAATTCTGAATGAAAGAAAAGAACTTACGGAAAGAAGAGACAACTCGGGTTGGGACAGTCATCCCATCAATTGAGGTCTCAAGTCGGAAGTCGGGAGACTGCCAATCTCCTCCAACCCACAACCATTCGTCCTGAAAACCATGGAGGGTTTCAGGTATCCCAGTGACCAATTGTCCTATCTTCAATTCGTACTGAGGCCTCGCCGCACAGAAAAAGCAACCCGTGGGAGGAACTCCATCCCGCTCCCTACTCCTCTTAAAGAACAGAATGCTTCTCATCTCGTCGATGGTGGGGAAGGGGATTTTCTTTTGTGCTAACAGAACCATAATCCCAATAATCTTCTTCCAGCTATTGGGAGTGATCTGGCTGAGACTGAGACCCCAATCGCGCAGATAGTCGGTTATGACGTTGTCTAGTGGGAATCTCAAGCCCGACCTCAGACTCTCAGCAAAAATCCCTATACAACCCGGAGGAGGACAATGAATCCTTTCCCCTGGATAGGGGGCGAAAATACTTACCGAGGTAGGGATTCGTACCCACTCACGGAGGAGAACCACGTCGGCGTCGGTCATGGTACTGGGTTCCCCCAAAAATGGAACATCTTCATCGGGCCATCGACGGGCTGGACGATTCCAATAACCCGACCTCACAGGAACATCCCGTTCCACCTCGGCATCTCCTTCAATGTCACGTTTGCGAATCTCCAAACGATCCACAAAAACAGGGTCCCACCGATAATAATCCCCCATCAACTCCATTAATTCCTCATCCAACCGCAGGTCAGACACAGTCCTACTGCTGCTGCCCGTACCGACGTTCTCACCACTCGCCGCCATAATCAGAGCTCAGAAAAATGATATAAAGGAATTACGAAGTGAGAAGAAGAAATTAGGGCTTACCAAAAAACGATGTAAACTCTTGAAGGTTTCGGGACTTGCTGAAATACGATGAAGAAGGTGAAAAGGGAAAATACGAAGTATGCTAAAGATAGGTTGAGAGAACAATTGATTAAATGAAGGTTTAGTGAATAGAAACCGTGAATTTATCCGTATATATACGCTCGCAGTTTTCTAACCGTTGAAGATGGAGAGGCGCGTGGTTAAATGACGCGTCGATTCAGAGAAGTGCCCCTTTATTGTGACATGACGTTCAGATACAATCTCGTACGTACGCGTGTCCCAAAAACCGCCAACGTTAATGTCCGGAAATTTCGGTACGTGCCTACTGTGAAGAGTAGTGGACACACCACGTTCGTGACCTCTCGTAAACCGCATAATAAACTTCTCACAGTACAAAACGACTTTGGTAAAGGAACCACACTATGCGATTTTTATCTAAGGAAAGTAACTCGGCACAAATTCGCGAAAGAGATCTTTAGATCAGCTCGGGAATCGAAAGCAATAGAAGGGAAAGTGTCATCAAAAAGTATGCATAATTTGCATACTTCTTAATGCCAGGGGCCTCTATGTTGACATCAAGATAGAATACTTCGATATTACAATACAATTAAAGAAGTCGCGAAGATTAATGCATAAATTAGATTCTGGACGACGTCAAGCAGTACATTCTGCATCTCGGTAACCTCACCTCGGTGCCAATAAGAGATCACGGATATTTGGAAGGTCATCAACACAAGTCGTCTGAACCTCGAAGAAGGCCAATTCGGTCAAAGAATTATTTATTAAGAAGTCGCAGAATATCGGAAATTAATCAAGATGCCGACATCGCAAGACAAACCGACTTCGATCCGACAGATGTGACACTCGTCACACAGATAGAGGCGCGCCCATGCTAATCATTGCCTACAAGGTTCTTCTACGTCATCGCCGCCCCTAAGATGTCAAATCTTCATTAAAACGGGAATGATTTGTCTAGGGATGTGTGCCAAACATACCTATAAATAGCAGTTCCGAAAACGAGAGAAGGGTTCGAAAAAAGATCATACATACTCATATATTCACCTCGGATATTTCATTGTAAACCGACCTGAAGTATACTGGAAAACCGACATCTTTGTACTGAAACCGACTTCATAATATTCAATAAAATTCTCATTTTCTACCATCTTTTGTGTGAAATTTACGTTATTAACGTTGATTTAATCCGTTTATCAACAGTATTTACGGTAGATTAGTTAATTTGTTACTGTAATTTTGGTTTGGATAGTATTTTGGTTTAGATTGTGTATTTCAATTTGTTTTGTTGTTTTGGATTGTTAGAACAGGTTTTTTGGGGTGTTAGAATGGAAAAAACTTGTATTTTTTCTTTTTCACATCCCAGTAGAAAACGTATTACTAAAATACGTTTTACACTGGGACACGGGTCGTGTTTCTCATCCACACGACTCGTGTTGAAATGCCGAATGAAAATTCTAATTTTTCATATCCCAGTTTAAAACGTATTTCCGAAATACGTTTTACAAATATTTAAATGTAAAACGTATTTTCAGAATACGTTTTTAAAAAAAATAGTTTATATATTATATATTATGGTATACAATATATGATAGATAATAGTTTATAGTATATATCATATAGTATAGTATATAGTATATAACATAATAGTTTATAGAACATAATAGCTTATATAACATAATAGTTTATAACATAGTATATATTAAATATATATATATATATATATTATATTAAATAAAATAACATGTATGACATTAAATGAAAAGTTCGACGTGTTCGTTTGTGTTCGAACTTTTCATACTATATACTATGTTATATGTTATGCTGTATATTACAAACTATATAGTATATATAATATATAATATATATAGTTTATAGCATATAGCATATAGTTTGTATTCATATTTATATAAAGTATAATATATATGTATATGCTATATATTAAAAATACTATATACTATAAAAAATCTTTATATTGAAGGATAAGAATAAAATTTGCGCAAAAATAAACGCGATAGCCTAGCGGCCTAATGGTAAGGAAGTGTGCTCAGAGATAATGGACTCGCCCACCCGGGTTCGAATCCCGAATTTGGGGTCCTCACTACCATTTTTTTTAATATGTAAAACGGATTCTCAAATAAAGATAACAAAAAATTTATTAAATATAACAAAAAATATATAAAATTATTTTTTTAATAAAACGTATTTGAAGAATACGGTTATTTTAAAAGACGTAGCATGAAAATTTATTAAATAAAGATAGTGTTTGATTAGTATAATGGTATCAACGATTTATCTAGGAATGATTGAGTGTATGAAGTCCACCATAAATCAATGAGGTGGCTGAATTCTATTGGCTTATAATTAAGGGAATGATTCCGTGAAAATGAACCACGGGACTTTAGACTTTTCCCTTTTTTTGATCGAACTTTGATATCGTATAACTTACACATGCTAGGCAGTTGTAATATTATTTAATTAAGTTAATCACGTAATTAGAAAATACGTATTTAGAAAATCCGTTTTATAAGTAAAAACAGATTTCGGAAATCTGTTTTACCTTGTAAAACGGATTTTCAAACTACGTGCTTTTTATTTTGGTCCACGCCCTTTTTTTTTTTATATATCTCTTCACAATATTCTACATTTCTTAAATTAAAATTTGAATATTGTATAAAACTAGTACAACACACCTACGTATGTAATGGGTGTTTGAACAAAAAAAAAAAATATAATAAAAAATGAGTAATTAAATGTTCAACAAATAATGAATAACTAATCTGAGTAATACTATTTAACATAATAAACAGTTCTACCCTCGGATTATCCAAAAATTTATATTTTTAATCATAATTATAAAATCATATATGTCTACCACAAATATTATTTACAATACTCTATGTTGATTTTAAATATTTAAATTCTTTCCAAATATGATTATATGTGATGTAGATGTCAAATCGAAGATTGCTAGAAAATGGTTAATTTAATAAATCATATTTGAAAAATGAAATACAAATAAAAAATGTTATTAACTTTTAAAATATAATAAAAAACAGGGCATTTAATAAATGAAATAAATGAGAATAAATAATATTAGTTATGTATAGTAAGATTACATTTGAAGGGAAAAAAGGACAAAAATAAATGCATACTTATGGACACGAGATATCGTCAGCATCATTGATTTAGTTAATTATTCATTTCCTTTATTTTAATTATTATTAATGATATTCTAGATTTGGTAAAAAAATTATTTATTTTATTACTTTATCTTAATCTTGTATTGTTGGAGAAGCTAGTGATCTAGAGCCTTGATGAGTCTTATTTAAGGATTCTTTCTCTTTTATTCTAGGCAGCTGAATTTGAATAAGAAAATTACGTATTCTCACCTTCTTATTCTCTCTTCAATAAGTAATTTAAAACATCAGTTTTGCTATGAAGTCAACAGTGAGACTTTTAGTAGAGTCAACCTTCTATATACAACAAGTAAATCATACCAATATAATAAACTTATGTAATTGTGGAAATAATAAACTTATAATTTTATAATACAAACACATAATCTTAGGTAAATGTGTAAATACGGTGTCTTATCAATATCATTAAATCTGTGTAATTATGGTGTCTTACCAATATCATTAAATCTCAAGATATGCCATATCCTCTTACTCGTATCATATATCTTCCGTATCATATATTAAGGCCACACATAACCTTTTCAAAATCAAAACATAACTAACTCCCATTTATATCGCAAAAAAATTGCAAAACTTATTCAAAATTAATGTCACAAAAAGTACTCATCACAAATCACAAATCACAAATCAAACAAGACCCAAACCAAAATTACCACACACCAACTAACTCCTCTCATGCAAATTAACAAAACACCAAAACACAAAGATCAAAACTAACTAGACACAACTATATTTACAACTCTTCTCATTAATTCATCATCTAAAAGGATGATGAAGCTCGTGGCTGAAATCTTGACAGGCAAGCTTTTTTTCGTCGAAATCGAAAACGATGACACGATCTGCGACCTCAAGAGGAAAATCGGCACGCAAGAAAATCTCCCGAGCGAACGGCTAATCCTCATACTCGATAATGCCGATCAAGAACGTCTGAAGATGGATAGAGACGAAACACCTCTCGATTGTTACGGGGTTCGAGATGGGTCCCACATCTACATTTTCTTCGAGCCTCCGAACGAGGTCTCGTCTTATAATAACTCTCCTTCGACTCCTCAATATCCCGCGCCTTCGCCTTCACCTTCGCCCATTAGCCCTTCCGAACGTGCGTGATTTACGAGCAAATTAGTCGTGTCGTTATAGTTTTGATCGGGTGGTGTTAAATGTTAATTTTTTCTAGATTGAAATGAGTAGTAAGATTTGGGTCTTTAGATTTTCCACTCATCTTGAGATTTCATATTATTTGATAATGTTTGTTCATAGATTTTAATTTCCTCGTATGAACATTCCTTTTTTCACGATTCAATTTTATACTTTCGTTTCAAATATTTGAAATTGTTCATAGATTCTTCGTATAAAAATTCATTTTCGTGATTCAGTTATACTAAAACAGTGTTTTTGCTCAATTGTGCATAAATTATTGAAAAGTTCAAAGCCTGAGGAAAACCAAATGGGCCATGCCTGAAATAACAAACATTTCAGGTTCTTTAAATTGGAGACTCAACCCAACAGCAGTGTATAATTTACTAGAGTCTACAGAGTTAGTTCACTTCACTATAGGACTCTCTTCAGTCTTGTCACATGAATAGTTGGCTCAATTCACTTTTCAGCTGTTGCTATATATTGCTTTCAAGTTTCAACTGAGTATTATTTCACTTTACTCACTTTCAACTGAACAAAGCAGTAGCAAAATTACAGTGAGTCCCTATACACTACACATAACATCTCACCAATAGATTGAACTACAGGACCTCGTTCGATCGAACCCCGATAATCAGACCGCAATTTCTAGCTCAAATAATCCTCAAGAACCTCTCCCAACTCCAAAAAAAAGAAAAAAAAGACACTAACCCTTCAAATTCACCATTCATATATAAAAATAGTCTAGGCTATAAGCTTGGTTTTCGGTCAGACGACTCATCACCCCACGTGCCACCAAACGAACCATCATTCCCCATATTACCAAGAAAGGTCGATAAACCAACGGGCTGGGCCTGTTCATCACCTGCCATTCCCAGCCCAAGAAAGTCCAAAGTCGGAGGCTTTTCACCGAAAATCGACGGGCCCATCATCAAGTCGTTCAGGCCCGACGACCCGCCCGAATTTAGCCCGAGCCCGAGTCCAGAAACCATCAGGCTGCTCTCCATCTTACTAATGCTACTGCCATGATTTGGGCCGGAAGGAGACGGTGGGCCCAGCCCAAGCCCGCGGAGGAACGAGGAGGAGCCAGATGACTTGGAGCCCATCTGGGCAGCCTTTTGGAGAAGTGCAGTTGCGGATAATGCGGGCTGCGGGCCCAAGACATAGTGCGGGTGAATCGGGTGATGATGGTTTTGAGCCGTGGGCTGGAAAAACGAGGGTGGGCCGTAGAAAGATGGGGAAAGAGAGAGCGAGATTGGGTCAGATGTGGGCCCGGATAATGGGCAGAACTGGTTCGGGCCGAATGGTGGGCCTTGTGAAGGATCGGGAGGTTCGGAAGTTGATGGGTTTAGTGCGGTGGAGAAAAATGGGCTGCCGGAGCTGCTGGAGGTGATTGCCGGAGCTATTGAAGGAGTTAAAGCCGCCGGTTCTTGTAAGTGGGCAGTCGGATTTTCAGGCAATTCTGCAGCTGTATGGTGAAAAAAAAAGATTTAAAAAGGGAAAAGGGTTGGGGGAAAAAGGGTTCATACTATTGAAAAAGGGCTTTTTTGAAAAGAAAAGCCTTTTTTTTTAATCATGAATCCCAACATACTTGAACTAGCAATGGTGAAAGTAACCTTTCATCAAGTTAAAAAAACACTCATTTCTTTCAAGGAATCTTATTTAACTTTCAAATACTACATAATGAGTGCAATTATAATATTGTATGTAATCAAAATGAACTCATTTTGGTTTGCATATTTTATTTTGCATCTCGACCCGCAAACCAAAATTGTTGACCAGAAAATCAACCCGATAGCCACACCTATATCGTAAGATTGAAGTTTTAGGACCAAAAAACGAGTAAAACGCGGTTCTTGGCAAGTTCCATTTAGAAGTCTTTTCTGCACCTATCTATTGTATTACCTATATAATGCACCACATGTAAACATTCTTCATATAAAGAAGATAAAATAAAGTGCTATGATATTGATGAATACAAGTATATTAAAATACTCATGTGGACATGATGTGAACATAATCAATCAAATTCCACATGGAAAAGGCGGTATATTATGGCGACATTGACCAAAAAGAGAAAACAGACCACAATTTTTTTAGTATCTGAAAGCTCATCTACTCATCTAAGGCATTTTCCAGCAAACTTCCTCATAAATACAGGCACCAACTAAACAAAAACACCTTGTAAAAAAATTCAAAATTTAAATTAAAAAAAGCACAAAAAAAAAGTTAAAAGAGTTCACAGACAAAACATCAAAGATTTTAACTTACCCGAGCTGTGAACTGACAAAACCGGAGATAAAACCTCGGTTTGCGGAGTTAGAGGCGGCAGCGGGGGGCTTGAGGCGGCCTCTGCCGGCGGAACTTCCGCCGGAGCTTCCGAATCTCCGGCGACCGGCGGCGGTGGCCGAGACAGTGAGCTTTGAGCCAAAGCATCACAGAAAGCTCTATGTGTAATGAAACTGTCCCTCCTTCAAAATTTTCAGAACCCCAAAACAGTAATAAAAAATCCACTTCATTAGTAATAATAAAAACAAACAGGCAATTAATCCTCCTACCTACTCATCCATCTAACATAACAATTAAATGCACATAGAAAAAAGAAACAGAAAAACATACACACTTTTCCACTTTCTTTCATGTTTTTTAGCCACATAGGAATCCTACTGATGTTGCAATAATGTTAAACCATAAAAGGCTTACTAATTGACTGTAAGTTGGAAAAAAAGATCAATTTTTTACCCAAGAAAAACTCAATCTTTCAATCAGACACACAGATAAAATTAATTGAACGAGTAAAAGCTAATTAATTAAATTGTCTGGGCATCATCGTTGTCAGACAACATATTTTTAGGGAAAATATGAAATTGAANTGAAAAAAAAAAAAAAAAAAAATTACCTGGAGAACAAAGTGCCGCAATCGCAGGGGTACTCGCGCGTGCCGCAGGTCTTCATGTGGGCTTTCCAGTCGGAGCGGACGGCGTAGGTCTTGGAGCACCGCTCGCACTTGAAGCTCTTCTCGCCGTGCTTCCGGCAGAAGTGCTTCTTGATTCCGGTGAGGTCGCCGAGGGCGCGCGCGGGGTCGTGGTGGGCGCACGTGGGCTCGGGGCACACGTACACGCGCTTACGCGCCGCCTCCCCGCCGCTCCTCTGCCGCAGCTTCCACGGCAGGTTGTGGCCCCGCCGGTGGAGCTGCAGGTTCTGGTCCCGCTGGAAACCCTTGTTGCAGATCTCGCACACGAATCTGTTGGTCGCCAGCAGGGTTTTTGGAGACAGTGCAATTACTTCTGCATCTGGATCTGATTTATTCATTAAAAATGGAAACAAAAAAAGAGGGGAATTTTTCATCTGGGTTTAATCAAGAAATCGAAATTGAAAATAATTTATTTTTCTTCTTGTTCTTCCTTTTTTATTTTGGGTTTACCTGGGTTTCCTGGTAAATTGCGCTTTCTCTTGGCCGGCAAGGCATTTTCCGACGGCCGGTGATCGGGGTTTGGTTGAATCTTGTGATCATCGACGGTGAGCGAACTGTTGGAGGCTGGGTGTGACGTTAATGGTGGCGATGAACTCTGAGATTCCGCCATGGCTAAGCTTTTTGCATGCTGGGAATTAGCTCTGTTACTGTGTTTTGCTGTTCATTTTTTTCCTAATTAAAAATGAGATATTTTGTAAGTACAAAATAACTGAAACTTTATTCATACAAGCTTCAACTCAGCTGAAAAAGATTGACTATCAAAGACAAAGTCTTTAGCTTTAGCTCAAGCTCACACCTTGGTTTAATCAACAACTTTTTTTTTTGATACAGCAAAGACTTTTGAGCCCATAACCTTAAAGTGAGGAAAAATCTACTCGAATCTCTTGAAAAATTGTTTCTTTATTCATCATTCTAAAAGGGCACGCAGCAAAATCCAACAAAAATTACAAAAATACATGAAAAAGTTAAAGAGAGAGGAAAAAAAATGGAACCTTGAAAACCTCAAACAAAAATGTCTCTCGAACTAAGCAAGAAAATCGGCGAGACACCGGTTCAACTCAGTAGCCCACAACTGCCCCATAAAAGCAAGGCAACCCATGTTCGTACACGACGGCGCCTTTTATTTTATTATAGAAGAAAATCAACTTTTTTTTTTCACAATTAAAGATTATATTTTTATTTGTAGTTTTGTAGACTTTGTAGTTTGTACTACTACTTTTTGTACGTATCTAGAGAGAGAAAACATACAAAAGAGAGATCTTTTTGAATCTCATGTAAATTAAAGGAAAAAAAAAAAGGAACTTTGAAGTCCCTTTACGAAAAACAGAACAGTTGAAAGCAACAGTGAGATTGAGATAGAGCAGTATTGTTTTTGTGAAGCGACGGGAGATTAACCATGGTTGGGGCTTTTAACTCTGGTTGGTTAAGCCATCAGAAGCTAGACTTGAGTTGAGTTGAATTACATCTTTTTTCTTTAGAAAACTTTTTTCCCTGCAATTGTTTGTTTATAACTTCTTATTCTTCTTCTCCGGCTTCAAGATATCTCCGGTGCAAATCCGACCGTCCACGTGGAGTATCAGAAATCCTGGGACAGGACACTTGTCCTGTGAACGTGCTACTATATACTAATAATCTTGTTGCATTTCTTTAATTCTTTGTCGTTTTAACGTACGTGTTTGGGGGAGTTTGAGCCATCTACTTTTCGTTCAAAAGACAACTATACCCTATTTCATCATTGTTACCAACTAACAAAGAGTTAGCATGTAATGCATGGAGAATTAATATTAACTGATGTATGTCTACATATTTGAAAACAAAATTGAAAACGCAAGTATGCAACTATTCGCTTTTGAAAATCTATATTGTCAACATCTTTCGAGGTAGCAAAATTATAGAAGTCAAAATAAAGTGTTGGGAAATCGGTAGGATATTCCAACACTTTGGTGTCTTCTCATGAATAATGAGTTTGAACTTTGTGATAATAGATCGATATTTACCAATGTTATTTTTAATTGGTAATTGCGAACCATATGTTTTACTCACATCATACTTACCTGTCTCTGGAATGTTAACATATCAAATTAGTCCAGCTATGTTGTCACCCTATATAAACAAAAATCGCAAAAAAATATATTTTAAAAAAAATTAATATAATAAATATTGATAACTAGATTTAAATCACATCATGAAGAATACTAACCTCACTATCGTGGAAGCTATTTACAAATAACTTTGGTAAGAGGCATCAAACATCATAGTAGGTTGATCCACGAGTTTATATTGAACGTGTAAAGTTCATTTATTTCTTTTAATGATGAGTATTGCATTTCACTTTACCATAAATGCGAGGTTATTTATAGATGAATTTTTTGTGCATATATGCACTTATTTTCGTAATTTTTAAAATATAGATTTACATGAATATAAGTTTATTACTTGATTTGATTTTTTATTTTTTATTTTTTTTTTTGCCGATTTTGGGAGAAATCAAATCATATCCTAAGAATATCTTAAAACTTGATTCTTTTTTTTGCGATTTTGGTGATTGTACATTTTTTATGTCCTTATCAAATATGTTAAGGCTAACCATTTCAGATGTTTAACAATTATAAAATTGTTGTGATTTTTGAATCCAACAATATTGGGAGATACTTTATTTTTTTTATAAATTTACGTTTCGATTGTTGAGATTTGAGAATCTCAACGTTAACTTAAGATATATTCGTTTTTCTTTTAAATGATCATAATGAAAATGAAGTTTGGGATTATGAGAATCTTTTATGGCATGATTGGTATGATGGAATGACATAGGAATGAAATGATAATTCCTTATCCCATGATTGGTATATTTTTTGGGAAGGAATGACCATTCCAATGGGAATGACAAAACCCATCTCCATGGGATTAGCCATTCCATAGTAAATGGAGGGTTTTCTTATTCCATGTGTGTAGGAATCAATTTTTCAAAAAATAAAATTATCAAATAATAATAAAAAATAAATATATAATATATATTTTAAATCATGATTAAAATATATTAAATAAAATTATTTTAAACAAAAATTCAAATAAAAAAATTGAAAACTTACTTTTATTTATTTTTTAATTAGATATATTAAATACTTATATAAAAATAAATCTAAAAAATTATTTATATATAATTTAAAAATATATTATTTTATTTTTATATATTATTAAAAATATATTTTTTTTATATATTAAAAATATATTACTTTTAAAAATATATTATTAAAAATATATTATTGAAAAATATTAAAAATATATATTATTAAAAATATATTACTTT